CATCATAATACACCTTCTCCAAATATTTCCTATCCAATGTCTAGAGTTTAACAAAAAATTATAGACATATGGCACTCATGTTGCTATGATGGGACTGAAATGTAAAGGACAATGAAAATGAACCCTGAGGTTTCCACAAAGTGAAGGAAGATGCAGATCACAGAAATAAAGGCAGAAGGGAGAAACACAATTCTGTACTGATTACTATGGTGAAAGTATAGTTGGTGTTAAATGTGCTCAAAGAAAGTATAATTATCCCCATTGTCTCACACATTTGTTCTTACAACAGTGTTTGTAACAATTAACTCCCGAAAGTCTCACTCTTCTGTGAGCTTCTGTCTTCGTCTACATATTCCATCAAGAACATCTACATTCTTCTTCCGCGTTTCCCATTCGGCTTCCTTTGCCCCTTCCACACATCTCAATGTATCACAGTTGCCTCCCTGTTCCCTTATGCTGCCTGTCAAGCATAAAACAGTTTACTTCTGTGTGTGCATCTGTTCTCAGGAGTGTGGCCGTGAGGGGGGAGAGGAGAAAGGACAAAATTCCAAAGGCAGGAAGCCACTTTTTACCTTGCCAGAACAAACTCATTCTACTAAATGCAGTTTTCTTCCCTCCAAGCAACACCTGTTCCAGGTTACATTTATTAGATGTGAAGACTCCCTGCATCAAATCCTTGAGGCATGCACTGGTATCTCCTGACTTTAAGACAGATTTGAGGAAGATGTAATGATTATAGAAGAATGTGAATGTACTTAGCACTACTAAAATGTACACTTAAATGTTTATGATGGGAAACTTTTTAATGTATGTATTTTACCACAATTAAAGAAGAGAAACTTAAAAAGGAAGTAATGATGTTCAATTCTCTGGTTTATATAACGTTTGATAGTAAATTTTGTTACCTGATTCTTTCAGATCTTAAGCTGAGCATTTTGTTTCTGCACAGGATGTTCTTCAGCCTTCCGTTTCACTTTGCTGGTCTGAATTTCATTAAGGGGGAGGTGAACCTAAGCAAAACCCTCTCTTTAGTGACTTGGGTCCCAAGAAGATCACTCAGTAGATAACATATAAATCTAATGTTCTAAGGCGTGAAAGATTTGTTTTCCTTCAAAGCTAAAGTGTATGACCCAAATAGATAAAATCATGAATGAAAATGGAATGATTACAACCAATCCCTCAGAGATACAAACAATTATCAGGGAATACTATGAAAAATTATATGGCAACAAATTGGACAACCTGGAAGAAATGGACAAATTCCTGAACACCCACACTCTTCCAAAACTCAATCAGGAGGAAATAGAAAGCTTGAACAGACCCATCACCAGCGAAGAAATTGAATCGGTTATCAAAAATCTCCCAACAAATAAGAGTCCAGGACCAGATGGCTTCCCAGGGGAGTTCTACCAGACGTTTAAAGCAGAGATAATACCTATCCTTCTCAAGCTATTCCAAGAAATAGAAAGGGAAGGAAAACTTCCAGACTCAGTCTATGAAGCCAGTATTACTTTGATTCCTAAACCAGACAGAGACCCAGTAAAAAAAGAGAACTACAGGCCAATATCCCTGATGAATACGGATGCCAAAATTCTCAATAAGATACTAGCAAATCGAATTCAACGGCATATAAAAAGAATTGTTCACCATGATCAAGTGGGATTCATTCCTGGGATGCAGGGCTGGTTCAACATTCGCAAATCAATCAACGTGATACATCACATTAACAACAAAAAAGAGAAAAACCATATGATCCTGTCAATCGATGCAGAAAAGGCCTTTGACAAAATCCAGCACCCTTTCTTAATAAAAACCCTTGAGAAAGTTGGGATAGAAGGAACATACTTAAAGATCATAAAAGCCATTTATGAAAAGCCCACAGCTAACATCATCCTCAACGGGGAAAAACTGAGAGCTTTTTCCCTGAGATCAGGAACATGACAGGGATGCCCACTCTCACCGCTGTTGTTTAACATAGTGCTGGAAGTGCTAGCATCAGCAATCAGACAACAAAAGGAAATCAAAGGCATCAAAATTGGCAAAGATGAAGTCAAGCTTTCGCTTTTTGCAGATGACATGATATTATACATGGAAAATCCGACAGACTCCACCAAAAGTCTGCTAGAACTGATACATGAATTCAGCAAAGTTGCAGGATACAAAATCAATGTACAGAAATCAGTTGCATTCTTATACACTAACAATGAAGTAACAGAAAGACAAATAAGGAAACTGATCCCATTCACAATTGCACCAAGAAGCATAAAATACCTAGGAATCAATCTAACCAAAGATGTAAAGGATCTGTATGCTGAAAACTATAGAAAGCTTATGAAGGTAATTGAGGAAGATTTAAAGAAATGGAAAGACATTCCCTGCTCATGGATTGGAAGAATAAATATTGTCAAAATGTCAATACTACCCAAAGCTATCTACACATTCAATGCAATCCCAATCAAAATTGCACCAGCATTCTTCTCGAAACTAGAACAAGCAATCCTAAAATTCATATGGAACCACAAAAGGCCCCGAATAGCCAAAGTAATTTTGAAGAAGAAGACCAAAGCAGGAGGCATCACAATCCCAGACTTTAGCCTCTACTACAAAGCTGTCATCATCAAGACAGCATGGTATTGACACAAAAACAGACACATAGACCAATGGAATAGAATAGAAACCCCAGAACTAGACCCACAAAAGTATGGCCAACTAACCTTTGACAAAGCAGGAAAGAACATCCAATGGAAAAAAGACAGTCTCTTTAACAAATGGTGCTGGGAGAACTGGACAGCAACATGCAGAAGGTTGAAACTAGACCACTTTCTCACACCACTCACAAAAATAAACTCAAAATGGATAAAGGACCTAAATGTGAGACAGGAAACCATCCAAACCCTAGAGGAGAAAGCAGGAAAAGCCCTCTCTGACCTCAGCCGTAGCAATCTCTTACTCGACACATCCCCAAAGGCAAGGGAATTAAAAGCAAAAGTGAATTACTGGGACCTTATGAAGATAAAAAGCTTCTGCACAGCAAAGGAAACAACCAACAAAACGAAAAGGCAACCAACGGAATGGGAAAAGATATTTGCAAATGACACATCGGACAAAGGGCTAGTATCCAAAATCTATAAAGAGCTCACCAAACTCCACACCCGAAAAGCAAATAACCCAGTGAAGAAATGGGCAGAAAACATGAATAGACACTTCTCTAAAGAAGACATCCGGATGGCCAACAGGCACATGAAAAGATGTTCAGCGTCGCTCCTTATCAGGGAAATACAAATCAAAACCACACTCAGATATCACCTCACGCCAGTCAGAGTGGCCAAAATGAACAAATCAGGAGACTATAGATGCTGGAGAGGATGTGGAGAAACGGGAACCCTCTTGCACTGTTGGTGGGAATGCAAATTGGTGCAGCCACTCTGGAAAGCAGTGTGGAGGTTCCTCAGAAAATGAAAAATAGACCTACCCTATGACCCAGCAATAGCACTGCTAGGAATTTATCCAAGGGACACAGGAGTACTGATGCATAGGGACACTTGTACCCCAATGTTCATAGCAGCACTCTCAACAATAGCCAAATTATGGAAAGAGCCTAAATGTCCATCAACTGATGAATGGATAAAGAAATTGTGGTTTATATACACAATGGAATACTACGTGGCAATGAGAAAAAATGAAATATGGCCTTTTGTAGCAACGTGGATGGAACTGGAGAGTGTGATGCTAAGTGAAATAAGCCATACAGAGAAAGACAGATACCATATGGTTTCACTCTTATGTGGATCCTGAGAAACTGAACAGGAACCCATGGGGGAGGGGAAGGAAAAAAAAAAAAAAAGAGGTTAGAGTGGGAGAGAGCCAAAGCATAAGAGACTGTTGAGAACTGAGAGCAAACTGAGGGTTGATGGGGGGTGGGAGGGAGGAGAGGGTGGGTGATGGGTATTGAGGAGGGCACCATTTGGGATGAGCACTGGGTGTTGTATGGAAACCAATTTGACAATAAATTTCATATAAAAAAAAAAAAAGCTAAAGTGTACAATGGAAATCCTGCAGGAAGTAGAGGGAATTTACTTCTGAAACTTCTGAAGTGTTTACTAAAATAGCACCTTTCAAGTTCTTTGTAGGTTTTTCTTTCCCCAGCTTGCAAGTAGGATAGAAATAAAATGTGTACTAGGCTTTCCAAACAAACACTGGACAATGTGTCACAAAGAAGCATTGTCAATAGAACATACCCCACAGTCAGTCCCTGTATCATTAAAAACAGTCGATCCAGTTTGGGCCAAAGAGAAAAGTGAGACACTTTAAAAAAATGAAGGGTGAATTTGGGGCGCCTGGGTGGCTCAGTCGGTTAAGTGGCCAACTTCAGCTCAGGTCATGATTTCGCAGTCCGTGAGTTCAAGCCCCGCGTCGGGCTCTGTGCTGACAGCTCAGAGCCTGGAGCCTGTTTCAGATTCTGTGTCTCCCTCTCTCTCTGACCCTCCCCTGTTCATGCTCTGTCTCTCTCTGTCTCAGAAATAAATAAATGTTAAAAAAAAATTTTTTTTTAAAAATGAAGGGTGAAGAGAATAGTGGAAGGTGTAAATTTTTCAGAGCAACTATCTTGCTTTTGAGACAATGGGACTGTCACTGGATAACAAAGAAAAAGGGAAGAAAGTGTAAAATCTTTCAAGCCAAACAGTTCAAATGAGTGACTTTTCTTTATGGAAGATAAATACTGTCACCAGGTTCACTTTCAAAACTCTCTGCTCTGCGTTAAGAGGAACATAACTGTTCAACGTGGCTAGAAACCTCTAGTGCTCTCTCCCAGCAGCACTGAATGATATAAAAATTAAGCCAGGGTTATGAAAACAAATTCTGCCTAACTCTTAAGTAAAGTGCTATTTTTTTTAATATAATAAATAAATAATTAATAAAACCTATTTATTTAGGCACTGTGATGTTACTGCTTGAAACAGCAGTGAACAGCATGGAAGGTTGAGGGGCTCAATTCATCCAATGACCAAAAGGGCTCAAACATCAAATTATGCTAACTCTCAGTAGCAAAACACTCAGGAAGTCCCAATTCTTGACATTCTGATTTACCTCAGATTGCCACAAATCATGAACACTTTGAATGATATCATTAAAAAATTCATTAGTGTGCTCAAGTGTCTCACTGTTATTCTTCAACAAAACATATAGTCATCAGGAATACTTATTCATTACCTATACTTCCATTTTTAAAGGACAAAGAAGGGATTTTAATACTTTTTTTAAAAAATTTTTTTTGAGAGAGAGAGCAAATGTGCAGGGGAGGGACAGAGAGAGACAGAGAGAATCCCAAGCAGGCTGACTCCAAGCAGACTCCCCACAGTCAGCACAGAGCCCGACGCAGGGCTTGAACTCGTGAACCATGAGATCAGGATCTGAGTTGAAACCAAGAGTTGGATGGTTAACTGAATGAGCCACCCAGGCACCCCAGGACAAAGAAGGGATTTTTATCTTCATCTATGTGCCTCGTAAGAGGGAAACTTATTTTGCCACATGGTTTCTTGAGCACATTTCTTTGCTCCATTGATCTACACAAATATGTAACAGAAGATTCAGAATTCAAAAATATTAATTATGGTGACATAAAAACCTGCCTCTGGTGGGTAAGTCATTACAGAAATAAAGAATGTGGTATTTTACATATGTGATGATTGCTTTGAATTTAGCCTGGTATAGAATGGAATGAAACAGGACATCAGGATGAAAGAGGAGACAGCAAAATCAGTGAACCAGAAGTGAACACAATTCAAGGTGAAATCATGAAAATGAAAAAAAAAAAAAAAGGCAGGGGGGTGGGAAGGATGATTATACCTTCTGTTCACAAATGGATATTTTTTCTGCAAGGTTTGCATTTTCCTTCATGGAGTACTTAATCTTCTCATAAATTTGATCTAAATTAACCAAAAAGATAAAAAGCAATCTCTCAAGATTAGTACCAAAACCAGTAAAATCAAATTACCCACTGTGTCAACACCAAAGGCACATGATCTGGCACTGTGGTCACATAAAACATTTGGCATTACTGTGGTCCCTGAAGAAAGCAAGTTTTAATTAGTGGCATTTTATTTTTCTTTCTCTTTTTCTCTCCTTTCTCTCTCTCTCTCTCTCTCTCTCTCTCTCTCTCTCCCTCTCTCTCTCTCTCTCATTTCTTTTTCTTTTAGAGAGAGAGACCACATGAGTGGGTGATGGGTAGAGGGAGAGAGGGAGAATCCTAAGCAGACTCCATGCTCAATGTGGAGTCCAACATAGGGCTTGATCCCATGACCCTGCAATCATTACCTGAGCCAAAATCAGAAGTCAGATGCACAACCGACCGAGTCACCCAGGAGCCCCCTAATATCCCATCATTAAGCAACATTCGTCTTAAAATATATGAACAGTTCAAATTGTGCTGACATCACCAGAGGAGAAATGAAGAAAAGTCAAGTATCCTACATACATATATTCCATCCTTCATGATCAAATAAACAAATCAGTGCAATTACTTTAAAAACAAAAGTCAAAAAGAAAAAATAACCCACCTAATTTCTTCCAGGTTTTCCCCCACCTTCACCCACCATTTAAAAATAACGAAAGAGGCACCTGGGTGGCTCAGTCAGTTGAGATCCAACTTCAGCTCAGGTCATTATCTTACTGCTGATGAGTTCGAGTCCCACATCAGGCTCACTGCTGTCAACATAGAGCTCATTTTGGGTCTTCTGTCCCTCTCTCCCTCTGCCCCCTCCCCACTTATACTCTGTTTCTCAAAAAGAAGTAAGTCTTTTAAATAAATATATTAATTAATTAATTAGTTAATTAATTAACAATAACAAGAGAGGTGGGCACCTGGGCGCCTAGTTGGTTGATTTTGGCTCAGGTCATGATCTTACAGTTGGTGAGATTGAGCCCCATGTAAGGCTCTATGTTGACAGCATGGATCCTGCTTGGGATTCTCTCTCATTCCCTCTCTCTCTGCCCCTCCCCCACTCACGCACACACTTTCTCTCAAAATATGTAAACAAACATTTAAAGAAATACTGAGAGAGAAATTATTCTAAATGTCGCTTGGCACTCAGAGGCCTCCAATGTCTTTCTGCTGCTCCACAGGGTCCCTTCATGAGAACCAGGGCAGGATGCTCAGGTGGGTATGGTCTTGGAATCAAACACACTTGGGTAAAATCTCAGCTTTACTACATAGTGGATAGGACCGTGGATAACTCCTCATCTCCCCAAATCACAAGGTGGTGAAAGCCAAAGATGTAAACATTACCACCTGCATTACTGGTAAACACCATGCAGGAAACACTCACCTCACACGTAGATAGCACATGGAAAGCACCTAGAACAGAGCCCAGGACTCCAGAGTCTTCTGATAGGTGTTTAATTCTATTCGGTCCCAAACTACAAACTTACCTTCTATCTGTATAATATGAGAGTTCTGCTGCCCTGAGGTCACCCTTCTCTATACCAGCAGTGTTGTATTCCCCATAGTAACACCAGCATTTGAGGACCCACTATGTGCCAAGTCACTTAATCAGCAAAGTCCATGAAGCCCATACACAATCCATTAGCCCTATTTTGCATATTGCTCACTTTCACTCACTCTCCACTAGCATTAGAGGCTCCCTCCACCCAGGACTCATAACACATGTTTTAAACCTCTCTAGTGACACACACTCAGCCTGACAATATCTGACTTCTTCTCTAAGCCTTGAGCTTCTTGACAGGCTCAGATAGTGCCTTAATCTGTACATTTCCCCCAACAGGTAGGTCATGCCAAAATACTCCTGTCACTGGCTTCTTAAACATTTCTGTCCAGAATTAAACTCATCCACTTCTCCCTAATTATCTGATTTTTTTTCTACCTGGTCACCTGTCTCAGCTGGGGGCAACTCAATCTGTGCTGTCGCTTAGGATGCAAACATCCTAACTGTAAAGAGTTAATGGGCTAACTAGACCAGATAAATCAATGTCTTTACCTCTAGCTGAATTAGAAACCACATTGAACAGCTGTATTAAGAAAAGATTACAGGGCACCTGGGTGGTTCAGTTGGTTGAGCATCTGACTCTTGATTTTGGTTCAGGTCATGATCTCATAGTTTGTGAGATCAAGCCCCGCATCAGGCTTTTGAGTCTTTTTTTTTAAAAAGATTTAAAAAGAAAAGATTACAAGGAAGATAGAAGCCTGAAATGTTACCTTCATATACTCGAGTCTTTACCTAGATGAGTGATAAACAAAATTAAATTTGATGTAGAAACAATATTTTTTTATAAAAGTATAGCTCGTGACAAAAAGTCAAAATCATAATCCAATGTGGTATTATAATAAAGGTGTGGTTCAGCAAAATAAATTATTTTTTAAGTTTTGCAATTCTAGTATAGTTAATATACAGTGTTACATTCGATTCAGGTGCACATATAGTGATTCAACAATGCTGTACATTACTCAGGGTTCGTCATGGAAAGTGTACTCTTTAATCCCCATCACCCACTTCTCCCATCACCCCACCCACCTCCCCTCTGGTAACCATCACTTTATTCTCTAAAATTAGGAATCTGTTTTTTGGTACATCTCTCTTTTTTCCCCTTTGTTCATTTGTTTTGTTTCTTAAATTCCACATATGAGTGAAATCATATGGTATTTACCTTTCACTTAGCATTATATCCTCTCTATCAATCCATGTTGTTGCAAATGGCAAGGTATCATTCCTTTTTATGGCTGAATAATATTCGTGTGTGTGTGTGTGTGTGTGTGTGTGTGTGTGTGTGTAGATATATAGATATAGATATACAGATATAGATATAGATGTCACCTCTTCTTTATCCATTCATCTATGGATGGACACTTGGGCTGCTTCCATAATTTGGCTATTATAAATAATGCTGTAGTAAACACAGGGGTGCATATATCCTTTAGTAGTAGTTTTTTGTTTTTTTTTTTTTGGTTTTTTTGTTTTTGTTCTGTATCCTTTGGGTAAATACCCAGTAGTGCAATCACTGCCTCATAGGTTAGTTCTATTTTCAATTATCTGAGGAAATTCCATACTGTTTTTCAAAATGGTTGCAGCAATTTGCATTCCCACCAAAAGTGCATGAGGGTTCCTTTTTCTCCACATCCTTGCCAACACTAGTTTTTTCTTGTCTTTTGATTTTAGCCATTCTGACAGGTGTAAGGTGATATCACATTGTAGTTTTGATTTGCATTTCCCTGACCACGAATGATGTTGAGCATCTGTTCATCTGTCTGTTGGCCATCTTCTTTGTGGAAATGCCTATTCAGGACTTTGGCCCATTTGTAAATTGTATTATTTGTTTTCTGGCTGTTGAGTTGTATAATTTCTTCATATATTTTGGGTACTAACCCTTTATCAGTTATGTCATTTGCAAATATCTTCTCCCATTTAGTAAGTTGTCTTTCAGTTTTGTTATTTGTTTCCATTGCTGAGCAGGAGCTATTTATTTTGATATAGTCCCAATAATTTAATTTTGTTTTTATTTCCTCTGCCTCAGGAGACATTCTAGAAAAATGTAGCCATGGCCTAGTATAATAAAAACTTAGAACTATAACAAACTATAGAAAGAATTTCTTTTCTACTTGGTGATATTTCAACAACCATTTCTAAGGAAGAGAATTAAGGTAGATATCTTATTTTTGACCAAAAGTTATGTTTCCATTCTATTAAACAGATACAAAACTACCAATCTTCAATAATGGAAATGACACTTATTTTAAATTAATAACTAATGTTCCATTTACTTGCAATTATTTTTTGTAAAGTCCAATAGCCATAATAAAGTCCAGGATCACTCTGTTTCAGAGTTTCAGACAAAACAAAAGTAAAGGCAAAATCTTGGGACTAAAATATGCCTCTGACTCACCAGAAACACTGTAGAAATGTCTTATGCATTCAGCTATTTCCTGAACTGACAATGCCACCAAATCAGGTCCTATGATTTTTCCCACATCACCACCAACAAAGGTTTTCAAATCAGAAAGGAAGTGGGAGATGGCTAGAGAAAACACACAAGCAGCAACATAAATGACCACAAACATTTCCAGAAAGTGCAAAAAGTGCTTCCTTGACCAGAGTCATTCCCTGAAGACATTGTAAAATTATAGCAGGTACTTGAGATGTCACAGAGAGATCTGAACAAAGTAAACAAAATCATACAATGTTCTCAGACCACAGATGGCTCAAACTAGACATCAAGAACAAAGTTATTAGTTGGAGAATGACCAAAAAAATGAGATTAAACAACAAGCTTCTCAAAAACACATGGATTAGAGAGGAGTCGGGTGGGGGGATGGGTGAAAGAGAAGTAGATCAAGAGTACACTATGATGAGCAACTGACAAGTGCATGAAATCACTGAATCATATTGAACACATGAAACTAATATTACACTGTATGTTAATTACAGTTGAATTTTTTAAAAAGCCCATATAGGTCAAAGAAGACATTTCTACAGAAATTGTAAAGTATTTCAATCTAAATGATAATGAAAATTGAATGTAGTAAAGGGAAGTTTATAATACTGAGTGCATATAAAAGGTCCTGTGGCTATAATATTTTCTGCTTACTTATGACTACAATTCTATCTATAAGGTATTTTAGTATACTCACAGTGAAAACAGTTCTCCAGAGGTAAATTAGACAAGCACAAGTTCCCATGGAGGCAGTATTAATGTTATGTTTCCACAGAATTTCAAACACATCAGAGCCAAGGGGGAAATGGTCAGGCAAAATATGGACAGGCTGAGATAATATTGGAGACAATGAGGGTTCTTAAAGATATTTACAATATATCTGTCACAAAGAATCATCTTTATGAACCCTCTACCAGCCTCCAGGAAGTTATAAGCACACCTCTCAAATGTCTCCTCATAGAGGATCAAAAGGACAGATGGCTTACAAAGGAGCAGGAACAAACTTTTGGGGGTTATTACTGTGTTTGCTATCTTACTGTGGTGATGGTCTCATTGTTGTTTACATATGTCCAATATCAACAAACTATGTTCTTTAAATTTTTTTTTCAACGTTTTTATTTATTTTTGGGACAGAGAGAGACAGAGCATGAACGGGGGAGGGGCAGAGAGAGAGGGAGACACAGAATCGGAAACAGGCTCCAGGCTCCGAGCCATCAGCCCAGAGCCTGACGCGGGGCTCGAACTCACGGACCGCGAGATCGTGACCTGGCTGAAGTCGGACGCTTAACCGACTGCGCCACCCAGGCGCCCCCAAACTATGTTCTTTAAAAAGGTGTTGTTATTATATACAAATTATATGACACTGAAGCTGTAGGAAAAATAGACAACACTTAGAAATTTTACTTTGCTGACAAACACATTGCAACTGTGTTTTAATAGTAAGAATTTATAAGCCAATGTAAAACAGAAAAAGTAAGAAAATGCAAATTTATAGTAGATAAGAAGTCAATGAGTTCTATTGTACATTCATGAACTATGTGGATAAAATCCTTTGGAACATCTCCAAAATATGCCCCAAATTCATGGAAGAATGGGAGAAAGAAAAACAAAAAATGTACTAGAGATACAAATGAGATTGTTCTATAGAAAGAGGTTTACAGATACAGATATATCTGAGAGAGATGGGCAGCTGTTATCATAATAATATGGAATTATTATTCCAAAAAATAAATAAATTACACATTATTGTTCACTTCTTGATGTTTTCTTTCAATGTTCACTTGATTCTGAATCATAGCTCAAGTGTCAGATTTCTGAGGTACATAAAGATTTGCATAATCAGGTGATCTTGTATATTTTGATAATATCTGTGGGATTTTAAGTTACTTGAACACACATCTCCAAATAGCCAATGAAAGGAATTCATGTTTCTATTTCATGGCATTGTGCCAAAATTAATCGACAGCAACTCTGAAAATTCATTTCTAAAAGATTACAAAATTCCTGGATATGGTCACCAAAAGAGCAGAACACATATCATTCTACAAAAATTGGACTTAGAAGTCTTTTAGGACCAAAACACTCGTGATGCAATTCATACTAATTCACATACCAAGCTTAATTTTGGCACATAAACCTGTCTAGAAAGTAGCCTCTGAAATCTATAACATTTTTGTATTCAGCTCTCAGAGATGAGGTCATGAAAATGTGTAATGGTGGGAAATATACAGTCTTTGAGTAGCCACTGTCTGAAAGAAAGCAGTAGCTGTCAGCACAATAGTTGGTCATGGGGCTCAAATGCACCAAGGACAGAGGCCATCTTGTCACGAAGGTAAAACATCTTCAGACATGGGCACTCTTGGTGCATCTGGCCACTGTCTGGCTGCTGATATCAGTTGCTGCTTCTTAACTAGATTAGATCCAATGGGGCCAGTAACGTTAGGTTCTCACAGTCAATGGCCATGAGTAGGTGGAGGTGGGAAATGCAAGACAAGTTAGTTTATGGAAGAATTCAGAGATGATGTAGGGAACGAGCTGATCTCTGAGAGGCAGCCTAGGTACAGGGGAAAAATCCTAATAAAGACAATCAAGAATTTTCCTTCTTCATAGTCTCAAAGGAAAGAGAATAGATTCTATTTAGATTGGGGGCATTCATGTGGAATGATCCTGCCTCAATGCAAGGGTTATTCCTGACTAATGGAACTTTCCTGATCCTACTCTAAGGATCTGGTACACGTCAATCTAAAGAAATCTCCTTATCTCTATGCGTTCCCTGTCTGTCTGTCTGTCTGCCTGTCTCACTCTCCTAGGGGTACAAGTTTTGCTTTTCAATGAAAGAGTGAAATAGTCACACTGGGAACCAGGTATTTCATTATATTTGGGACAATCCTAAGGACATTCAGAACCCTTCTTGCTTTGAGTAAATCAACACTCTGCACATACTTAGCTAAAGAAAGGACAACAATTCATTCACTTCCTGATCATGTCGTTCCTAGTGATTTTCCTATTGTAAATGTCCAAGCAAGATGCAGCCACTTAGTTTCTGCTGGGCTTATGAGACTCCTATCAACAGAGTTGGACACAGAGTCCCTGGGGGCAGCCTCCAAGACCAGAGGCAAAGGGATGATTCAGAAGTTGCTAAAAGTCAACAAACCAGGAAGCACAGAGCTCAAAGACATTTCACTTTTTAACACTCTAGTACCAACACCAATGCTCCAGTTACCACTGTTCCCAGGGCTACCAAACTTCAGAAATATGAACAATGTGCTGATAGGAAAATGAACTACATATAAGATGGACCCTAAGCTTACAAAGCTTGAAGCAGGGTCTTAACAGGGCTTCCAGGAGACAGTCTAATACCCATAGTTCCTATTAAATAAGAGTTCTTGACATTTTTAAAAACAACTTTAATGAAATAATTCACACATCATAGAAACACCTATTTAAGTCAATCAGCTCAAAGCTTTTTTAGTATCTTCACAAATCTTTCCTTCCTGACACTATAAACCTACTATGTTCGAGTTTACATCCTGTCAACATTGCTCTTTCTGGACCAAGCGGCACAGACAGGACCCAGAACTTGATGTGGACAGCTGTAGCCATAACCACTTCAGGCTGGTGGAGAAACCTGTCCTGTGGTCCTCAGTCTTCAGGAAGAAATGAAGTTCTTCTGAAGGTCCTATCAAAAGCCATATGGAAAAGCTGTTGTTTAACCGCAGTGTGAAAGAACCCAATAGGAAGGAAGAATCCACCGATGTCCCATGTTTACTCACATTTGTGTTTGGGTAACTGGGACACCCAAACACAAGGAGCCAGAAAACCAGCCTCTGCACCTTCCTGTCCTGGTCCTTTAAGGGGACTCTAGGGTTCCAGGCAGGAGGTGGAGACGGGGGATGGGGTGTAGGTGGGCAAGGGAGGAGTGGGGAGGGGTGGGAAAGGGGGGAGGTGTATAAAAAGGGGGTGGGGTTAAGGAAGGGGTGTGTCAGGAGAAGAAGGGGGTCAGGGACAGGACCAGGATCAGATCAAGTATAAGAGGGGAGGGGGGAGGGTTCACACAGGTTAGTAGGTCAGCAGGTCAGTAAATCAAGAGGTGAGCAGGACACAAACAGCAGGTTAAGTGGACTCTCAGGAGCAGGTGGAGCAGAGGAAGATCCTTCTTCTTCCAAGGCCTCACCAGACTGTCTGGGTGTTGCCTTAGCAACCCAGAACCTTTATACTCTCTCTCTCGGCCAATCAGCTGCCCTCTCCCCTGGTAGAGCAATATGGACACCCCATGTGACCTCATTTTTAAAAAGCCGCTTCCCGCCTGGTGCACCACCACGTACCATCCCAACAACAGTTCCTCTCTGGAAACTTGGCCAGCCTTCTGGTTTCTGGGCCCTCCCAGCCCAGCTCCCTGTCACCTCTTCTGAGTGTTCTCTCCTTCCTTTCTAACTCCCATCCCCCATGGGCAATAGCTGAACAACAGAGAAAGCAAAGGAGGACAAAACTGCAAGAACAATCAAATACGCAAGCAGACAGGAAGGTTTAACCCTTTCTCAGCAAGTCAAAGCAGATAGAACATCCATAAGATACAGATCTTGATAGCAAACCATCTGAATCCCACAGCTATATCCATATATGTGTCCACATGTACATAACACTGTAGAGGACACATTCACTTTAGGCACAGAGGATACAGTTACAAAAATTCACCCTATTTATTATGGCCATAAGGGAAATTTCAAATGAATGAAATGACTTCAGAGGAAGGAAATCACACAAAGCATGTTTTGGTAATACAATGTGCTAGAAATCACTAATAAAGAGGTAACTAGAAATTCCCATATGCTTAGAAATTGAGAAGTTCCTCTAGAAGTAGAATATGAATCAAGAAATCCCAAAGAAAAAGAGCTATATTTGAACTAAATGATAGGAGCATGATAAAAATGTAATCAAAAATGTCTCCTGGCCTGGAATATCCTGGAATATTGGTGTGAGAAGATTGTCTGGTCCCCACGTCAGCTCTAATTGACCTAGACATTTTAACACCACAAACAGTGGTAGATCTGTCACTTATCTGTGTGACCCTCTGACCGATTAGCATGGGCTGTACATTATGAACCTTACAGGGGGAGAATTCAACTGACTCACATGGGATCTCCTGAGGTCTCCAGGAATGAGAGCATTCTAAGAAAAATAGTTCATCAGCTTCCCTCCTGAGGGACCTGGGACAACACCCAGATTGTTGGCAGCACCAGCTGTGCTGGGCAGGGAGGGCCAAGCAGGTGGGCAGGGGCCAGGGACCCAGGTGACTAGACAAACCCACTGTGATCATCTCTCCTGGGCCCTGTCCTGAGCTGAGCTTCCTAAATAGTTCCCTACATGATTGACACAATGTTTCCCCAACTCATTCAGGCCCAAGGCAGCTGAAAATCATTGCTCTGAACCCCCTCGCTTTTATTTTTATGTAAATGTATTGTAACAGGACCCATTCTGGCACTGCTAAATACCTAAATACAAAGAAACCATACAAAACAAGCAAAACCAAACCAGAACAGGTGTAAAAACCCAATAGTGTTCAATTTCGTTTAGATGCTGCTGCCTGCCTAATGAGCCCCAGTGTTGGGCTGTCCTGGTCTCCTGGTCTCAAGGAGAGACCAGCTACAGAAGAGGTAGAGTCCAACTGGCCTAAAAGTGAATGGGAGAGAGGGCCCTGACTATAAGGGGGCCTAGGGAATTCCATGAAGCATGGCCAGGGTCATCCCGAGTATAACTGCAGCAGGGATCAGGGAAAGAAGAAGCAGTTAACAGAGTTTGGGGGCCTTGAACAAGTGAGATCATTCATGGAGGTGAGGAAGTATCCCCAAAGCCAAAGTCAGCCTCCCATCTGGGGAGTCCTTCATGGTCCCTGGGGGTAGGGCCAGGAGCCTAGTGAGATCCAACTCTGCTGCTTACCAGCTGTGGACCCTGGGCTGGTGTCCTTCAGTAAAATGGGAGTGGCCATGCCGGTGTCCAGAACTGTGCTGAGGACAAGAGAAAGCCACGTGCTGAGCACTAGTGGATATCAGTGTCATCACCTCCATGAGGCATGTGCCTTCCCAGTCTGGTGGCTTATATTTGCACAGCTGTTAAAGGTAACACAGGTGGAAACCACAGTTCGCTCCAGTTTCAGGCCTGTGCTAAGCCTTTTCCTTTGCAGACATCATCTCTCAGGACCCAGTGGTCGGTACCATCTCCAACCCCTTGCACAGATGGGGAACTGGGCTCAGAGCCCTCACAGGGAAGGCTGTACCCAGGCTGAGAAAAGGCTCACTGCTGACTTGGGTCTGGGAGGGGACGTTGGGAGAGGGGAAGCTGGGGCCTGGAGACTCCAGAGGGAGGAGAGGCCACGGAGATGCTTGGCACCACAACCCAGCTTTGCTCCAGGTCACCCTGTACAGAAGATGAGCCAAACCAGGCAGCAAGGTCACAGCCTGGCTCCTCCACCTCAGGATGATGGCCATTCATCTGTGTGGTGACCATAATGCTGTCATATACTAGTCCTGATGATGCCATTAGTGCTATTGTTGTGGGAGAGGGCACAGCCCACTCTGACACACCCCAAGGGTCCTGGGGAGACTCACCTCACTTGATCTGGCCCCATGAAGCACTCTCACCTAAGTGTACCCTGTCCCTACCCTGTGCCCCTATCCCTGTGGCCACCATACCCTGGCCACTCTCTGGAGTCTAGGCCTAGGCACAACCCTCAATAAGGCACTGACATGGGGCAGGTGCCCAGCAGTGGGTTGAATCCATGAAAACACCCCTTCAATGACAACTGAGATGGGCAGGTCATGCCAGAGTCTGTGCACCCCTTCTTCTTGTCGTGGCCTCCACTGGAGTGCCAGAGCTGTCCTGGACGGTGTGTGTGTGTGTGTGTGTGTGTGTGTGTGTGTGTGTGTGTGTGTAATCTGCATTGTGCCCCTGTGAGTTCTGTGTCTGTGGGTATAGTGACTGTGGACATGAGTTTTCTGCCTTTTGACTATCCAAGAGTCTTCTGTGTATGCATGTGTATCTGTGTCTGTGTCTCTGAATGAGGGTATGTTTGCTGTGTAATTCTCTGTCTGTGGCTATATTATATTGTTGGGTCACATGTATCCCTGAGGGAGTATCTGTATGCATCTGTGTTTCCTGTCTGTGTGTGTATTGGTTGCATGTGTGTGAATCTGTGGCTCCTTTTGGTGTTCCTGATCATACCTGTATGTGTATGTGTGTGTGTTTTCCGTGTGTGTGTGTATGTGTGTGTGTTTTCCGTGTGTGTGTGTGTGTGTGTGTGTGTGTCCAGTGTGTGTTGAGGTTGTTTCATGGGGCTATTTCATGTGACCCTGAAGGAGTGTGTGTACCCCTTTGTGTGTGTGTATCCCTCTGTGTGTATCTGTGTGTGTGTGTGTGTATGTGTGTGTGTGTGTGTGTGTGTGTGTGTGTGTGTGTGTGTGTATTCCTCTCAGGGTGTCATTGGCTATGTCTGCAGTCTGGGTCTGTCTGTGAGCCTGTCCATGAGCCCTATACCTGAGTCCCAGATGATGCTGTGGGTGGTTCCATGCCTGTGTGTATCTGTGCTTGTGGTGTCTGTTTCTTTCTCTGTGCATGTGTGTGTCTGTGCACCTCAGAAGTAAGTAGCTACAGAGGGAACCCTTCAAGGGTAATCCTGGGGTGGGTGAGCAAAAGACAATATGTGCTTCCCCCACCCTCAGGCTCAGCTCCCTCTGCCCATTTTTCTCCCAACCTCCAGTGCCCCCCACTTCGGGTGCCATCTCGGTCTCCAAGGATGGATGGAGTGAAGGGCAGCTCACAGGACCACAGGCCAGTAGCAGGGAGGGCTGCGGATGGCAGGAGGAGGTTATAAAGTGTGGGGAGGGCTCCTAGACCCTGGTGAGGCTGAGAGATACCTAGGCCCTGGGAAGGGTGAGTGAGTGAGTGGGGGCCCCAAGGCAGGGCTGGGGAAATAGAGCTCCTGGGCCCCATGGAAGGAATGCAGGATTGGGCACCCCGGAAAAGAGCTGGAGGAGTCCTGCAGGACTCCTGAGTCCCCAAAGGGCAGATCCTTCACTCACCTGTGCTGGCGCAGGCTGAGGCCAGGAAGTGGAAGCAGCAGCAGCAGCAGCAGCCGCAGCATTCAGAGGCAGTGGCAGCAGATCCGTGGAATGGTGGATGGAGCAGGGAGCCATGGTCTTTCGAACAAGTGGAATCACCACGCTGGGCTGCCCTCGGCCCTTTCCCCCTTCCCCGGCCACCTCACTAGCTCTGGCCCTGGCCTCATCCTCAGCAGGGCATGGTCAAGCCAGACAGAGATGGACACCTGGGGCCACAGGAATGTCCCCCTGACCTCTGTGTCCTAGTTGTTGAATGGGCATAAGGAGTCACCCAGGGTCCCTGGCACCAGAGTTTTCTCTGATGGAACTTGGGAAGAATTATGGAGGAATAGCATTTAGTGCCAGTTTATTCACAGAATAAAAGCACAACATAAGGTCGCCTCGGATGCTGATGTCAACGTTTTATTACCAGACCACATTTGGAGCACTTACCCAGGGATGTGGAGGGAAGACAATAACATATTAATTAAGAGAACAAAAATGCTAGAACATTGGCACTCCTGATGCTACAAAACAGTGCTCTACATTCCCCTCCTCACCCTCTCCATAGTGGGGAAACTGAGGCAGTCAAGGATGTGGTCAAGATTACAGAGTGGTTTCTGAGTGTTTTGTTGATTACATCTGACCAAACTCCTTTTTCCGAAGTTCACTTCTCTTAATCTTGCCAGTGATGGTTTTGGGCAGCTCTGGGACAAATTCCACCTGGTTGAGGATGAAGCAAACCCATCCTGACTTAGTCCTGCTATCATTTACTACCAATGCCCCACCTCCCTTCTTTGCCTTTGCACAGTCCCCCAGACAGGCTAGCACCATGTAGTGGCCTCACTAGGCTCCACCAAGTATGTCACATTGTCCTTTGACCCACTAAGCTGGATGTAGCCCTGTGACATGCTCTGACCAGTGAAATGTGAGTGGGAGTGAAGTGTGCCACCTTGAACACAACACTTGGGAACAACTGAGTCTGGTCACCTCTCTGTCCATCTCTTATGTCACCTGGTAGTTACCTTTGATGGGTGCTCTTTTATCCTGGTCCCAGGGGGACCATGGTGGACATGTGGTATGAGCAAGGAAGAAACTTCCCTTATTATAAGGTTCTAAGATTTTGGGGCTATTTGCTACCCACAATAACCTCTAGCCCATCCTAACTTTCATGCATCCTCTGTTTTCCTCCTAAGAGGCAGGACAGCCCAACATTCAAAGCATGATCTCTTGTCAGATTCATGTGGGTCTGAGTTCCAGCTCCATCCTTTTATTAACTCCAACCTCAGGCAATTTACTGGGAGTCTCTGAGCCTCCGTTTCTGCTCCGTAAAATGGGTGGTTACGGCATCTCAGGTTTGAAGAGGATTAAATCAAATAGTAAAAAAGTAAATCTTTGAGTCCAGGACCTGGTACACATAGTGAATGCCAATAAGTGTTAGCCGTATAGCTTTATGTCCTGATTGTAAACATTCAGAAAATGCAGCAACGTATTATTACAAAAGAAGGAAATGTTAATTTGTGGCATATGTATCCTTTCAAACTGTTGTTTTCCAACAAATATGATATTAGGTATATTCATTTACAGCCTGCTTTTTTCTCTTAATAAGGTACTGTGATGTTTTCAAGTTACAAATAAAAGATCTGCATTGTCTTTTTAAATTATAGGACTACATTAAATACCATAAATAATGTAATCATTTCTCTATTCCTGAACACTTCCATAGGTTGCACATGGCCTTGAAAACAAATGAAGTAGAATAAAAACTCTCAGAATGTATTGTATGTTAGAATGAATATTACTTTGTTAGCCTTTATTTGTTATGTATCTATACATGTACTGGGTTGCAATTTAGAATGTATTTCTTACTACGAATAATGTTTTTAAAATGTGTAGCAGTTATTGATTGGAATTTCTTTTCCAAATGTTCAAAGATTACAAATAATCTTGATGTCTCTGGGCACTTGTCTCAATTTTTTTTCTTTACGTTGACCTGCCAGCCATGTTTTTGACACAGGACAAAGTTTCCCTCTGATTAAGTTGGTTGCCCCATATCACTGAGTTGAACTGCTTCTTCTGCATAGGAAAATGTTCATTCTGTTGGCTACATAAGCTTCTCCTTGGCCACCCTAGCGGATTCGGGGCAGCAGAGCCCCAGGAACCACTGGCAGGAACCACATCCCATCCATCTGCCCTCACTCACCTTCCTCGGGTACTTATATGGGGCTGTCACTGACTTCACATACTGCTGCAGCTCCTGGGTGAGCTGGTCCTGGTCATGGGAGAGGAATTCCGGGGTCAGGACAATAAATGCCTTCACCACCTGTAGTGCAGAACCAGAGTGAAGGCTCAGGCTGAGTGGCAACCAATTGTATAGTTTAAAAAGTAAATGTTTATTAAGTAAATGGAAAAACAAGGGAAGAGTTGAGCCTTTGCAGAAGATAACGGCCAGTTTCCATACTTCCAATTTCTACTCTTTGTCTTAGAAAATAACCTCTCAGCCTCCATTTCCTTCTCAGTGATGTGGGGATAGCACAGCTTCACCCCTCAATGCATTTATGTCAAGATTCATTGAGATATTACATGCAAAACATGAAGCCAGTTTAAATTATTTGTATTCCTATCATTATCATCACCATTTTTACTATTATTGTAGATAGAGTTCTGTGGGCACGAAATAAATGTTGGTAATTAGATAGTTTTATATTACTTATGTCCCTATTACAGGGCACAGGGCCTTGTACATAGTAGGTAGTCAGCACACACCTGTTGAACCAATGAATGCATGATCCAGAGAAGGATTACTCAAATTCCCATTCCACCTCCACCACTTAAGAGCTTTGTGATCAGGCAAGTTACTTAATCTCTTTATGCTTGTTTCTTTACTGTAAAAAAGGATATCAGAATCCTTAAAGAATTAGGCTGTTGTGAGGGGGAAATGAGTTGGCACAGAGCAAGGGTTCATTCAACAGCAGATTGGAGGCCTCAGTGTGCAGGATTCACAAGCACCATTTTGTCACAGTTTTGGCCCAGTGCCCTCTGGTGACCACACAGTGTAAATGCACATGCACATGCTCTCTGCCCTCCCTTCACCTTAGGTGGGAGGCTAGGAAAATAGGGCCTGGGGGATGTCTTTCTTGCACCGGCCTTCCAGGTGCCCACACACAGACAAGATGACCTCTGTGTCTTCCTCCTTACCTCCTTTCGAATCGGGTCTGGGCTGCTCACCACAGCTGATTCAGCCACTGCTGGATGTTCGGACAGGGCATTCTCCACCTCTGCTGGCCCGATTCGGTACCTGGAGGATCAATGACTCCTTCTTGGTTTCTGAGCAGCTGGCAGGGCTGGGTGACCCAGGCCTTCAAGTGTCATATTTTGCAGAGTCACATCTTCCTTTGCCATGTAGGATAACTGTCTCAGGGAGCCCAGATACCTGTGACCTTCCTCTGTCTTGCACTTCATGTACACAATACAACACTCACATGCTCCCCAGGCTTTCTCACCTACTGCCTCTGGTCTGGGAAGAGGGCCCAGGTTTAGTCCTCCCTGGGTTCCAGGGCTTGGCTCAAGCAGCTTCCCCTGGCATGAAACCTATTGGCAGCCTCAACTTTTACCTTAAACATTCATGTGAACTCTGTATCCTATTCCCCACTATATTAGCATGTTTTAGAAATTAAAAAAGGAAACAAACTCACTCCCTGAAATCTCCAAGAGGACTTGTTACTCTAGTGTAATATGCCAAAAATCTTTTAAATCACATACGTGTTAGGGACAACAGACTTAGAGCCAGATAACTTGTTGAAATCTGGGTTGCAGCCCGTTCCCTTTGAAACTTTAGGAAACTTTCTTCACTGGTAACTCAGTTTCCTCATCTGCAAAATGGGCATAATTGCATGTACCTTCTAGCATTGAGAGCTGGATTATATAAAGCACTGCGGAGTGTGCCTCCACATAGGAAGTGCTCCATAGAGGTCAATTGCTATTACTTATTATTAAGTTTTTCTGTGAAATGCTGTGTCCAATCAGAGAAGCCAAGCATAGAATAAGCTTCCTCAACCAGTAGGGGTCAAAGTAAAGTCTTCCTTCTAAATCCTTTAAATTGTACAATGTCTTTTTTTTTATGTTTATTTATTTTGGGGAGAGAGAGACAGACAGACAGACAGACAAAGTGCAAGAGGGGGAGAGACAGAGAGAGAGGAAGACAGGGAATCTGAAGCAGGATCCAGACTCTGAGCTGTCAGTACAGTGTCTGACATAGGGCTTGAACTCAAAGACTGCGAGATCATGACACAAGCAGAAGTTGGATGCTTAACCAGCTGAGCCACCCAGGTGCCCCTAAATTGTATAATGTCTTATGTTCCTCTTGAAGACCTTGTTGAACTTCATTTTGATTGATTCTTCTGGATGCAGGGCTTGGGGAAGATACACAGATAGCCCCAGAAAAGGACCTCATAGACAAAGTTTTGTTCAGAATTAGCCTGAGGGTCAAATCACCAACACATGGACAAATGTATGGACAAGCTAGATCCCATCAGGCATGTGAGAGTGATGCTTCCTGGCTCAGATCAGCCATACCTACCCAGAGGAATTGATGATGTCATCATTCCTCCCAAGGAACCATATGTAGCCCTCTTCATCCATAGTTGCTCTATCCCCAGTGTTGTAAAAGTCCCCACACTCCACTTCGGCAGTCTTTACTGGGTTGTCCTGAAAAGATAACAGCACCCGTTTGTTGAAGACAATTAGTTTAAATTAAAAAAAAATTTTTTTACTGTTTATTTTTGAGAGAGAGAGAGGAAGGGGCAGACACACACACATACACACACACACACACAGAATCTGACGCATGCTCCAGGCTCTGAGCTGTCAGCACAGAGCCTGATGCAAGGCTCGAACTCATGAAGTGTGAGATCCTGACTTGAGCTGAAGTCAGATGCCCAACCGACTGAGCCACCCAGGCATCCCTGAAGGCAATTACTTTAGCGATGATGACCCACAACCTGGTACTCAGATCTGGGTTCAAATTCTGCTCCTTGTTCTACCTGGCACTGAGACAAGTTTTGTAATCTTTCTGAGTCTATTTTCACTACCTCCAAGTACTCAATGCACACTACTTGCCAATTAGTGGACAATAATGAGCCAATTTTAAGGACAAATTTTTGTGTGGAGCTCTAGTAGAATAAAATTTCCACTAGAGCATGGACCCTTTTATTTATTGTTCTCAACTTAGCATTCACAGTGTGTCTGAAAAAATGAGAGGTGTCAAAAACTTTTGTTAAAAGAATTTCCTTCCCCCAATACTATCTCACCCGATCCTCCCAGAAAGCCTATAAGGCTGGTATTTTTCAAATTAAACTGTTTACTTTAAGATAATTGTATACTTGCATGCAGTTATAAGAAATAACACAGATATCCTGTGTACCATTTACCCAGTTTCCCTCATGGTAGCATCTTGCAAAACTGTACTTCAATATCACAACCAGGATATTGACATTGCTACAATCCACCAATCTCAGATTTCCCAGTGGTTTATTTGTACTTATGTGTGTGTCTGGTGTATTCAGTAATTTGCAACTTTATCACATGTGTAGGTTCCTGCATCCACCACCATGGTCAAGACACAGAAGGCTCCCACAGTCCCAAGGATCATTGCTCTTTTGTATCATACTGACCTCCCTCCTGCTTTCCCTCCCTCCTCCCTCCAAATCCCAAACTCCTTGACAGTGGCTAATCTATTCCCCAGTTTTATAATTTTGTCATTTTAAGAATGTTACATAAATGGAATCCTGTAATAGTATGCAACCTTTTGGGTCTAGCTCTTTTTTTTTTTTTTTAATTTTTTCATTCCGTATAATTTTCTGTAAATTCATCCAGTTTCTTGAATTCATCAGTACTTTGATCCTATTTATTGCTAAATGGTATTTCATGTTATGGACGAACTCCAGTTTGGATGTCCACCTATTGAAGGGCATTTGGCTTGTTTCTGGTTTGAAGCTGTTGTGAATAGAACTGTTCTGAACATGCATGTACAGATTTCATGTGGGGCTAGATTTTTACAGCCCATTTAGTAGAAGAAATGAGTGTTCAGAAAAGCACAATAACTTGCTCAAAGTCACTCTGCTGGTCAGTGGAAGGGCTGGTATTTGAATTTAAAATTCTTACTCTTCAGCCTCTGCACTCAACCACTAAGCAGTGTGTTAGCATCATCCCTCACGTGGAACATAAAATGATTTTAAGAGGTTCCAGGAAAAAAAAAGTTTTATTTTTTTACTTTGAGCTTATTTTTTTTTCAGAGAGAGAGAGAGAGAGGCAGAAGGAGAGAGAGTGAACAAGAGAGCAGGGACAGAGGGAGAGAGAGAGACAGAGACAGAGAGACAGAGAGACAGAGAGACAGAGAGAAACCTAAGTAGGCTCCTTGCCCAGAGTGGAGCCTGAAGCAGGGCTCAATCTTACAATCATAAGATCATGATGAGCCAAAATCAAGAGTTGGACTGAGCCACCCAGGTGCCCCCTAAAAAAACCATTTTAAAAACATTGAATGACATCTCTTTTTAGGTTCCCTTCCAACTGGATTTTAGGCAAGAATGCCAAGACCATTCAGGGGGAAAGTTAATCTTTTCAACAAATGGCATGGAGAAACTAGGATGTCCACATGCAAATGAATGAAATTACCATATGCCATACACAGAAATTAACTCAAAATGGGTCAAAAACCCAAACAGAAGAACTGAAATTCTGGAACTCTTAGAAGAAAACATAGGGGAAAGTCTTCATGACTTTGTTTTTGGCAATTATTTATTGACTATGACACCAAAAGCACATGAAACAAACAAAAAATAGATAAAATGTTCCTTATCAAATTTTTAAAATTTTACATCAAAGGATACTATCAAGAGAGTAAAAGGACAATGCACTGAATGGAAGTAATATATGTGATATGTTGGAAGCATATATCTGATAAGAGATTCATATCCAAAATGAATAAAGAGCTCTTACAAATCAACAACAACAGAAACCCCAATTGTAAAAATAGGCAAAGGACTTCAACAGACAATTGGCCAGAGAAGATACACAAATGATCAATGAGAATATGAAGGGGTGCCTGAGTGGCTCAGCCGGTTAAGTGTCTGACTCTTGGTTTCAGCTTAGATCATGATCTCACAGCTTGTGAGTTCAAGCCCAGCATCAGGCTCCACGCTGACAGTGCAGGGCCTGCTTGGGATTCGCTCTCTCTCTGCCCTCCTCTGCTTGCTCTCTCTCTCTCTCTCTCTCTCTCAAAAATAAATAAATAAACTTAAAAAACAGTTTAAAAAGAATATGAATATGGAAAGATGCTCAACATCATTAGTCATTAGGGAAATGCAAATCAAAAGCATAATGACATACTATACCACTTCACACCCATTAGAATGACCATTGTATTTTTTTTAATTTTTTAAATGTTTATTTAGTTTTGAGAGACAGAGAAACAGAACCTGAGTGGGGGAGGAGCAGAGAGAGAGGGAGACATAATGGGGCGCCTGGGTGGCGCAGTCGGTTAAGCGTCCGACTTCAGCCAGGTCACGATCTCGCGGTCTGTGAGTTCAAGCCCCGCATCGGGCTCTGGGCTGATGGCTCAGAGCCTGGAGCCTGTTTCCGATTCTGTGTCTCCCTCTCTCTCTGCCCCTCCCCCGTTCATGCTCTGTCTCTCTCTGTCCCAAAAATAAATAAACGTTGAAAAAAACAAAAGAAATTGATGGATATACAAAACATAGAACATACATATAATGGAATATCATTTAGCCTTAAAAAATGACATTTGGTACATGCTACAACATGAGGGAGCCTTGAAAACATGTGTTAGGTGAAATGAAACCAGACACAAAAGGGCAAATGTTGCACAATTCCACTTAATTGAGGTGCCTAAAATAGGCATATTTTTTTTTTACATTTTTTAAATGTTTGTTTATTTTTGAGAGAGAGAGAGACAGAGCAGGAGCAGAGGAGGGGTAGAGAGAGACGGAGACACAGAAATCTGAAGCAGGCTCCAGGCTCTGAGCTGTCAGCACAGAGTCCAACACAGGGCTCGAACTCACAAACCATGAGATCATGACCTGAGTGGAAGTTGGACACTTATCTGACTGATCCTCCCAGGTGCGCCTAAAAGAGGCATATTCTTAAAGACAAAAAGTATATTAAAGGTTACCAACACTAGGAATATGAGGAAGAGGGAGTTGTTCAATGAGAACAGAGTTTCTATTTGGGATGAAAGAAATTTTCTGCAGATGCATGGTGGTAATTATTGCACAATATTGTGAATTTACTCAATGCCACTGAATTGTGTGCTTAAAAAATGGTGAAAAGGATAAATTTCATATTATATATATTTATCTCAATAAAAAAAATGAAAGGAAAAAAGCAAACAAATCTCAGTGGAGGGGTGACAACATATAGTCATGAGAGCATGTGAAATGACATACATATACAGGTTTGGGCATAGACTGAGGAGATCTTTGTAAAACGAAATATATAATTTCCAATTAAGAAAAAACTGTCACTGCTCTGGACTTTCCCAGTTTAATTTAACCAGAATCTCTGTGGTTGGATCCAAAAATTAATATTTTTAAATCTCCTCAAATGCAGGGTTGAGAACCACTGAAGTATATACATGTTATTCTGTGTTTACAATTTTCTCTTTTATACACATTTAAAACTGTGCTACAGTGAATAAAGGCTAGGGTCTGCATATTTGCTTTTGGGCAATAATATCTCAAAAGAAGCAGTGCCCCGCTTCCCCTGCCATAGGCCATAGAGTGACAACAGTGATACGAATGGCTGTTACTGTGGAGAAAGGAGATGGGTCTGAGGTCAATTTCAAGGTCTGTCCACCCTCCCCTGGCCAATCTTGGAAGCTGAGAATTTCTTCTTAGTGGCCACTACTGACCAGGCTAGGGTTTGTCTGGTTAAGAGTTTCAGGTATCCTTAGAATCTGTCACAGTTTTATGTAATCCCTCAATTTCTTATATAGGTGCTGGGGACCAAAAAGATGTGGGATTGAATCCTAGAGCGGCCATTTATTTGACATGCAGAAGACATACAACTCTTCCAATCTGCAGTTTCTTTCTCTGTGAAGTGCAGACAAAAGTGCCCCCTGGAGGCTCAGCATTGTTAACAGATTTGTGGTTGGTAAATGGAACTGTAGGATGTGAACCCAGTTAAAGCTTGCACTCTCAACCACAAAAGATCATTGTTACCCAAGTATGCTGCTTCTGAAACCAGACTTCTTTCTACCCCATCAGCACTTAAATGCCAGATGGCTTAGGACAGGAAGGGATGTGGGAACACGGGAGATTAATTAGAAGAGGCTTCATTGGGGGCACCTGGGTGGCTCAATTGGATAAGCTTCTGACTTTGGCTCAGGTCATAAGCTCACGATTTGTGAGTTCGAGCCCCTTCATGGGGCTCTGTGTGGACAGCTCAGAGCCTGGAGCCTGCTTTGGATTCTGTGTCTCCCTCTCTCTCTGCCCCTCCACCACTCTCTCTCTCTCTCTCTCTCTCTCTCTCTCTCTCTCTCTCTCTTTCAAATGAACACTGAAAAAAGTTTTTTAAAGAAGAGGCTTCACTGAGTTGGAGTGAATGACAGGAGGTATGAAGAAGGCTCAGGGTGCAGAGCTGAATCACCCCCACTCACTCAGCACCCACACAGCTCCCTGCAGGGATTTTCAGGGCCTGGAAGGGGTCAGGTGAGGGTCACCACTTACCTCATAGCACATGAAGAGGCCCAGGGGCTTGGTTGGCTTGATCCTGATGCCAATGTTGCCTTCAGTGTTGCGCGGCAGGATGTTGCCCTTCTCATCAATGATCTGGAGCAAGAGTCCTGTGAATCCCGCCCTGCAGGGCCACCCCAACACACCTGCCACACCCAAACGTTAGCTGACTATTCCTGTGACACCAGTGAGAATAAATGGGGGGAGAAGCCCTGTCAGAAAATAAATTAAAACTGCCAAAAGTGTTTGAATTCAGCAAATGGTGAAATCCCAGTCATGGGTCTATTTGTTTCATGGATATACAAGCATTGCAAATGCATCGTCAAGCTGGAAGACACAGGTGAGCAAAAACTAGAAGCACCAGCTGATGGAGAGAGATGCCAGGGTGCTCCAGGTGCTCTGGTCCCATCTGTTGTGTGTGAGGCCTCCAGCTGCCAGGCTCAGCTGCATTCCTGCCCAGGATACTGCAGCTCTCAAACGAAGCCTCCCAAGGAAACCAGAGGGAAAATAGGAGGAGAGGAGGAAGGACGGCAACTGGGGCAGGGGAGTGGGGTGGGAACAGCTGGTTCTGTCACCTGGTGTCACACAATTGTCCAATCCCAGCTAAGCCCTAACTATTCCTGGCCAATGTCTTTAGGACCAAACCTGGATGTCGAAGGGGGGGATACTTATCCCCATGGAACCTGGCTTGATCTTCATTCCCCGTAAAGTGCCACAACTTATTCCCTATTTACAAAAGAAAGAAAATGGGGTTGGTCAAAGAGTCCTGGCTGATTGCAAAGCATCAAGAACTATACACAGCATCCTGGCTCACCAATGTCATTTGATGCTGTGCAAAGAACTCTTATGAGAAAGCTAGAAGGCCCAGATTCAAGGTAAGGTGCAAGGCATTGACCTAACTCTGGTCTGCAGATGTTCACAGCACCTGTAGGCATGTAATATCAGGTGTGGTGGGCCCACTATATGTCAGACATGTGTCCATTTGCTGGAGGAAGGCCATGAAACCATTAATGTTTACTTGGGGCTGTTGAACAGTGACAGGAACCTAGTCTCAATTATTCAGAGCTGTGTTGAGAGTTTTCATATTGTTTGTGTTGTCCCTTCCACTAGAGAACTGCCCCACTCCCTTTATCTTCCTGATACACCATATTCCTCCTTTATGGTACTCTAAAATATCATTTTTTCTAAAGTTAAGTCAGACTAGGATTTGTTTCATGGATATGAATCTTCACTCCAGTTGTGTGCCAATTAATCCTCTTTGATTTCTCTTCTGTAAAGGTGGGTAATTATAACACTTACCTCCCAGAGTACCTGGGTGTACGGAAAACCCTTCACCCAGTGCCAGGCACACCAGGTTATGTTCAATAAACATTATTCAGCCCCCAAGAAAAGTCAGTTGGGAGATTCTTCTGTAGTATTTTCCCTTCATACTTCCATTGTAGCCAACAGAGCATCATACTTATTTTTGCTTGTCTGTTTCTCTCAGTGGATAACAAGCATCCTGAGAATAGAGACTGCCCCATTCATTTCTATATCCAGCATTCTAGTGCAACCCCTGCTTAAATACAAGAGTAACTGCAAGGTGAGTATGTACAAGCGGTTGGACACTGTAGCCAGAGCTTTATATTCATCCTTTCATCTCCCTTATTACAACCTAGAAAGACTGGATAATATTTCCATTTTGGAGATGGAGAAGCAGAGACTCTGGAAGGTTCAATGCTATGCCTATGGTCTTGAAGCCCGTGATTGGCAAGGCTGAGATCTGAACTGGTGTCTGAGTTCCTGGGAGGGGAAGCTCTTTCCCCTTTGCTATGTTATTGCTCACAGTACAGGCATATGGAAAATGTTCCATAGACGAGGCAGTAGGTATGAAAGTACATTGAGAAATACAGCACGAGTCAAGTATAAGGGAGTATTCTGTCTATTGTTGCAAATAATTAATGTAAAGGGATGTCATGGGTGTAGGTAGCTCCCATTCCACCACCCTCCACCTTGTCCAAATATAAACTATGAACTGTACAAGGACAAACTTGAAATCTTAATATATCTCACCCTGAAGCAGACCAATTAACTGATTATTTAAAATAATTTTTTTCCAAAAAAAAAAGTCAGTGAAGTATATTAATTGAGGCTAAAATAGCCATTTTGCTGCCGTTCCTGAGATGGCAGCCATCCCTCTGTCAGCCTCGGGGATAATAAGGAGGTTGGGGAAGTGGCTCTGTCCAGCAATAGAAGTGGCTTGAGAATGTGTAGGATGAGAGATACCTGCCCCCACTATCATTGATAAAGTTGTTGTGGTTTACAACATGCATGACACTCTGAATGCCCCACCACATGGCTGCTCAGTGATGCCTTTGAGAATCACACTGTGTGTGTGTGTGTGTGTGTGTGTGTGTGTGTGTGTGTGTGTTTGGTATATACAGAAAGTCTCTGCTCCCTCCTCCACTCCAGCTAGTGTCTCACAATCAAACCTGTGTGCTGTTCACCTAAACCCCCAGAAATGAACTTCTGGGGCCAACTTCTGGCTGTTGTGGTTGTTACCCTAGGAAGGGATGGTGAAGTGGGCAGAACTTGTGGATGGTGGCCTCCTTGTTACTGGAGAGAACCTCCCAGTTCTCCTCCACCCTTGATGAGCTCCATAGAGCTTAATGATCACAGGGACAGTGGCATCATGTCCTTAGACCACTTTCAAAGTCCTCACCCAATAGTTTTCAGCACACTGGCCTCTTGACACATTGATTAGCTGTGAATTATCTTTGTGCAAACTGATTTGGGGCAAACTAGCCTAAAACTCTGAAGCCCCATCATCTTCAGGCAATGCTGTGAGCAGAGTGGGGCCTCTGCACACACATGATTCAGCTCCTCTGCTGGGTATGGAACCCAGCTAAGCACATCCTGACTGGCCCAGAAAGGACTGTCTACCTACTGTTTCTGACTGTCCATAGACCTCGTAGAGCAGAACGCCTGTCCGTCTTCTCCACTCCTCTTGCTCCTCTGGCAGCAGAGCCTCCCCACCAGTAATGCAGTCCTCCAGGGCAGGGAACCTGAGACTAAGGGAAAGGCAAGGTATCAACAGAACTTGTGGTCAGGTCTTGGATGCTCTGTCCCAGGCCCAGAGTGTTAAGAGCTCACTCATAGCCTTGCCATCTGGATCATTTATCCTCCTGCTTCCTCATGTTCTTACTTGTCTTTGGGGCAATTTACTGGAGGTCAAAGCCAAGGGAAAGTCACTCATTTCCTGGTGGTTCATATTAACTCTTCTGGCAAGGGGTGGGTGGTGGTGGTGAGGCTAATGGGTTTGGTCAAAAGTTTGGACCAAATTTGGAAGTTGACGTAGAAAGATGGCAAAGACGTATTTTTCAGGCCTTGTCTTAACATCCTCTGTGGCTAAGAAGGATATTTTATAAACCATAATGGGTGGAAGATAAGACTCCCCAAAAGCTTGTTAGGATGATAACAAAACTGCACTGCCTTCTATGAAGAGTGGAGGCATGTGAACTGAAGGGTTTTTGTATTTCTGAGCAGAAAATGCAAGTTAAGGGGTGGAAATGAATTGCTCAGGACATCAAGGAAGACCAGGATAAGTGTAGGAAGAGAGAGAAGGGTTGTAGGTAACAGCCCTGAGAGAAGGAATTTCAGGAAAAGCAGAAAAGTTGGCTGTCAACATTTGTAGTAGGTACACTGTGTGACATAAATCCTCTTTATTTTCCTCATCGAATTTTCCATAAATGAGACAAAAACAGACATAAAATAATAATGCATTCCTTGAAAGACATGGGGAGAAGCGATTGAGATCTGATTACCAGCTGGCCTGGGGCTGGACCAGGTCAGCTCTTGGGGATGAGAGAGGCAGCAGACATCTTGTCCACCTTTCCATCCTCATCACACTGTCCTGGTGCCTTTAGAGTCAGGGGTGATGGACAGGAGGGCTGGTTTTACTGAGGTGTTTTCTTCATTATTCAGCTTTATTCAAAATAGATAAAATGGGCAGAGTGTGATGCAGTCACTAGTTATGACATGGTTGGATTTTACTGGATTTGGACAAAGATAATCATCTGACGAACACTTCAAAAACTTGCTAATTATGAGTTTTGAAACATAAACGGAGTCCAACCAGCATGAGGCTTCATGAATAAAATCAAGTTGTGTTTCAGAATTAGCTTTGTAAGGGTAGTCATTAAACACCTTAATATTTTAATTCTATATTTAAAACATGTTACTCTGATTTTTGGAGCAACCATTTTAATTTCAGAGTCTTTAAAAGATTCATGAACGCCCATATGTTTCAAAGAGCAGATTCCCGTTTAGCTAAAATTAACTCACAAACATGGGAAAATGCAAAAAGAAAACTATAGGAAGAGAAAACTATGCATCCATCAGATTGACAAAAATGAAAAACTCTGACAATAACAGGTGATGCCAATGTGATGGAACAATGGGAATTCTCCTACCTTGCTAGTGGGAGCATAGATGGGTTCAATATCTTGAAAAATTGGGTTGTAGAATGTAGTGTCAGTGTGAACTAGCAATTCTTATTCCAGAAAAATGTGACAGAAATCCATGCTTATATGCACCAGGGTACATGTGCAATAATTCAATGCAGCACTAATCATCAATAACCCCCAAATAAAAACTACCCGAGTGTCCATTAATGGTAGAACTGAAAAAAATATGCAATGTTTTAATATAATGGGATATTATACAGCAATGAAAATTAACTACAGCAACATGTAGCAACATAGACACATCTTAAAAACATAATGTTGAAAAAAGAAGCCAGATATTCCAGAATAATGTATGATTACATGCATAAAGTTCAAAGGAAAGTAAAATATAATAATTTGTTTAGGGTTATTTCCTTAGGAGGTTATCTGTAAGGGAAAATAAGGAAACTAACACCACAAAAGTCAAGATATGAGTTCCTTTAGTGGAGATAGGGAGTCATGAAGATACCTCTGGGGTGTGGGCAATATTCTATTTTTGTGACTCATGTGAGTGGTGACATAGGTGTTTTGTTTTCAACAATTCATTAATCTATAAATTTATGTGTTATGTATTTTTCTGTATGTTTGTCCTTTCATATGTAAAATATTCAAAAAGTAATAAACCTACAATTATGCAAGACTCACTTAGCATTTCATTTGGATCTCTTAGTCCTGCTTTAAGGAATCAATTAGACTGACTAATGATAATTAGTCAACACTTAACTTACCACACACACACCTGCACACCCCTCAAAGAACCACAGTTAAAAAGTCAGATCACAGTAGGTTGGATTCCTTAAATTCCTACCCAAAGATTGTTATGACCAGCCAGCCACCACCACTTCTACCATACCTGGTAGAAATCTGCTGTAGAATCATTCGATACACAGCTGGCGCAGCAAGGCACCGGGTGATGGGGTATTTGAACAATGTCTAGAAAGTGAGGAGAGAAGGAATTTTATTCTTATAGTAAGGATTTAAAATATCGGCTATTAACATTTTAATTCGGATCTCCCCTGTAAGACAGCCCAGTAGTCATTTGTTACTTTTTTCGATATACCTATATTGAGCATGAATTTTGTGCATAGCATGTATCAGGCACTGTTGGGGGGAATGAAAAAAGAGTTAGATAATATTCCAACTGGGAGTTTGTACTAATAATAGAGGAGATAAAACAGGACTCAAATGGTAAGGCAGAAATTGGTAGATGTCATAAGAGATACTGGAAGGAGAACTTAGCAGAGGGAAATACTCCTTCTGATTGGGTGATCCAGGGACCTCATGGAACATGTGGCATTTAGTTGTGGTATTTAACAAATGGATATGGTCTCTATAGGCAGAGGAATGGAGGATGTTCTTGCAGGTAGAACGAGTAACAGGAGCAAGTCTCCAGGGTTGAAGAAACACTTAGGTATAGTCAAAAGATGGTTTATTTAGACAGGAGAGGCACAAGAAGTAACTTTAGGAAGACTGAGGTTAGATTTAGACAGGTGAAGGGCAGGAAGTAAATTGAGGATGATTGACCTTAGTTGGAGATCAGATAGAGTCTACAATGTCTGGTATTCACCATTGTTTTGCTAGAAGTGGGAGTCTTTCAGTTTCGGATCAGGGTGGAGATACCCTGGGAGGGCAAGAACACTGAAGAGGAGAGAATGTGGGTTTGGGGTCTGCCTGCCTGACTTCAATCCTGTTACTTAATTCCTCTGCAATTCTGTTCCCTTATTTGTAAAATGGGAATATATATACCTTCCATGCAGAACCATAGGGAAGAGGAATGGGCACAGAGAGAGAGAATCCCAAGCAGCTTCCCTGCTCAATGTGGAGCCTGACACAGAGCTCGATCACAGAACCCTGGGATCATGACCTGAGCCAACATCAAGAGTCAGTCACTCAGCCAACTGAGCCACCTAGGGGCGCCAGTCCCTCTCTTTCTGAGTCCAATCAACTTCCTTCCTTCCTTCCTTCCTTCCTTCCATCCGTCTGTCCTTCCTCCCTCCCTCCCTTCCTTTGTTCATTCATTCCTTCCTTTCTTGTCTCCCTGTCTTTCTTTCCAGTATAATTAACATACAGTGTTATATTAGTTTCAGATATACAATATACTGATTCAACAATTCTATGTATGACTGATTGCTCATCACGAGAAATATATTCTTAACCCCCTTCACCTATTTCACCCGTCCCCCCCCACTTCCCCTCTGGTAACCATCAGTTTATTCTATATAGTTAAGAGTCTGTTTTTTGGTCTCTTTTTTTTTCTCTTTGTTCCTTTTGTTTCTTAAATTCCGTATGAGTAAAATCATATGGTATTTGTCTTTCTCTTACTGATTTAGCATTATACCCTCTAGATCCATCCAAGGTGTTGAAAATGGCAAGATTTCATTATTTTTTATGGCTGAGTAATATTCCATCATATATAGAGACACACATACATATACATCTTCTTTATCCATTTATCTATGGATGAACACTTGATCTGCTTCCATAATGTGGCTATTGTAAATAATGCTGCAATAAATATGGGGGTGCATATATCCTTTCGAAATAGTGTTTGCATATTATTTGAGTAGACATTCACTAGTACAATTAATGAGTCATGTGGTAATTCTATTTTTAATTTTTTGAGGAACTCCATACTGTTCTCCACAGTGGCTACACCAGCTTGCACTTCTACCAAACAGTGCATGATGGTTGCTTTTTTTCCACATCCTCGCCAACACCTGTGGTTTGTTGTCTTTTTGATTTTAGCCATTCTGACAGGTGTGGGGTTATATCTCCTTGTGGTTTTGATTTATATTTCCCTGACAAGGAGTGATGGTGAGCATCTTTTCATGTGTCTGTTGGCCATCTGGATGTCTTCTTTAGAGAAATGTCTGCTCATGTCCTGCTCATTTTTTTAAGTAGGTTTCACTCCCAGCATGGAGCCCAATGTGGGGCTTGAACTCACAACCCTGACATCAAGACCTGAGCTGAAATCAAGAGTAGGACACTTAACTGACTAGGCCACCGAGGCGCCCCAAAAGTGAAAAATAAATCAAAATAATTAAACTTTCAAATGCTGCTGTTTGTGTCTTCGTGTGTGTGTGTGTATGTGTGTGTGTGTGTGTGTAAATTTGTGTAATTAATAATTTGAACTAATTCAAGCTTAAAACACACTGAGACCTTGGAGACACCCATGTACTAGTGGAGGAGGGGAGGGGAAAGGTGGATTCGGTGTTCTTTGTGCAGCTTTAAGCCTCAGAGACTGGCAGGATGTGAGCAGTGAACAATGATGGAGAGGCAGATATTGACATGAGGTGAGAAATGAGAAATGGGAAATGTAGTCTGACATGCTGGAGGATTCATCAGATGGACCTGGGGTAGAAAAACAAGGGGGAATTTGCATGGAGGGAGAAGACTAGACCCAAGGTACAGTTTTGAAAGCCCCTTGAATGGATGCCCATGCTGGTGAAATGGAAGTAGAGGAGATTTTTTAGAAGGAAGAAGAAGGGTGAGGACAGACGCTTGTAGGGCTGCAGTGTTTAGGAGTAAGCTGGGTGAAGAGGATGTGGCTGGAGCAAGCGGAGAATGTTCTACGGAGAAATTTGATACCAAGGGAGGAAAGACTGGGTTGGTCCAGTGTGTAGCCAGGTAAAGGGAAGGTCTTTTTCAGGATGAGGAACTTTGAACATGTTTATGGACTAAGGGGGAGTACAGTTCATGAAGATGAAGAGGTTGAAAACGGGAGAAAAGAGTTAATGGATGATAGATTAATGGAGACGGGGAAGTGAGGGGTTGAAAATACAGGAGAAAAGGTTTAATGGATGCAAGATTAATGAGAAGTATAAAGAACTTCATAAGTATAAAGAACTGAGATCATACCATCCACACTTTCAGATCACAATGCTATGAAGCTTGAAATCAACCACAGGAAAAAGTCTGGAAAACCTCCAAAAGCATGGAGGTTAAAGAACACCCTACTAACGAATGAGTGGGTCAACCAGGCAATTAGAGAAGAAACTAAAAAATATATGGAAACAAATGAAAATGAAAATACAACAATCCAAACGCTTTGGGACGCAGCGAAGGCAGTCCTGAGAGGAAAATACATTGCAATCCAGGCCTATCTCAAGAAACAAGAAAAATCCCAAATACAAAATCTAACAGCACACCTAAAGGAAATAGAAGCAGAACAGCAAAGGCAGCCTAAACCCAGCAGAAGAAGAGAAATAATAAATATCAGAGCAGAAATAAACAATATAGAATCTAAAAAAACTGTAGAGCAGATCAACGAAACCAAGAGTTGGTTTTTTGAAAAAATAGGGGCGCCTGGGTGGCGCAGTCGGTTAAGCGTCCGACTTCAGCCAGGTCACGATCTCGCGGTCCGTGAGTTCGAGCCCCGCGTCAGGCTCTGGGCTGATGGCTCAGAGCCTGGAGCCTGTTTCCGATTCTGTGTCTCCCTCTCTCTCTGCCCCTCCCCCATTCATGCTCTGTCTCTCTCTGTCCCAAAAATAAATAAACGTTGAAAAAAAAAAATTTTTTTTAAATAAAAAAAATAAAAGAAAAAATAAACAAAATTGACAAACCTCTAGCCAGGCTTCTCAAAAAGAAAAGGGAGATGACCCAAATAGATAAAATCATGAATTAAAATGGAATTATTACAACCAATCCCTCAGAGATACAAACAATCATCAGGGAATACTAGGAAAAATTATATGCCAACAAATTGGACAACCTGGAAGAAATGGACAAATTCCTGAACACCCACACTCTTCCAAAACTCAATCAGGAGGAAATAGAAAGCTTGAAGAGACCCATAACCAGCGAAGAAATTGAATCAGTCCTCAAAAATCTCCCAACAAATAAGAGTCCAGGACCAGATGGCTTCCCAGGGGAGTTCTACCAGACGTTTAAAGCAGAGATAATACCTATCCTTCTCAAGCTATTCCAAGAAATAGAAAGGGAAGGAAAACTTCCAGACTCATTCTATGAAGCCAGTATTACTTTGATTCCTAAACCAGACAGAGACCCAGTAAAAAAAGAGAACTACAGGCCAATATCCCTGATGAATATGGATGCAAAAATTCTCAATAAGATACTAGAAAATCGAATTCAACAGCATATAAAAAGAATTATTCACCATGATCAAGTGGGATTCATTCCTGGGATGCAGGGCTGGTTCAACATTCGCAAATCAATCAACGTGATACATCACATTAACAAAAAAAAAGAGAAAAACCACATGATCCTGCCAATCAATGCAGAAAAGGCCTTTGACAAAATTCAGCACCCTTTCTTAATAAAAACCCTCAAGAAAGTCAGGATAGAAGGAACACACTTAAACATCATAAAAGCCATTTATGAAAAGCCCACAGCTAACATCATCCTCAACGGGGAAAAACTGAGAGCTTTTTCCCTGAGATCAGGAACATGACAGGGATGCCCACTCTCACCGCTGTTGTTTAACATAGTGCTGGAAGTTCTAGCATCAGCAATCAGACAACAAAAGGAAATCAAAGGCATCAAAATTGGCAAAGATGAAGTCAAGCTTTCGCTTTTTGCAGATGACATGATATTATACATGGAAAATCCGATAGACTCCACCAAAAGTCTGCTAGAACTGATACATGAATTCAGCAAAGTTGCAGGATACAAAATCAATGTACAGAAATCAGTTGCATTCTTATACACTAACAATGAAGTAACAGAAAGACAAATAAGGAAACTGATCCCATTCACAATTGCACCAAGAAGCATAAAATACCTAGGAATCAATCTAACCAAAGATGTAAAGGATCTGTATGCTGAAAACTATAGAAAGCTTATGAAGGTAATTGAAGAAGATATAAAGAAATGGAAAGACATTCCCTGCTCATGGATTGGAAGAATAAATATTGTCAAAATGTCAATACTACCCAAAGCTATCTACACATTCAATGCAATCCCAATCAAATTTGCACCAGCATTCTTCTCAAAACTAGAAC